GAGGGATTATTTGGGACTTGTAACGAGACTTGGTGTTGACGAGTTTCCCATCTCCCCCTTCCTTTTTTTTCTTTTTTTTTTTTTTTAAACCGAATAGCATGCTTCATTATATATATATAGCAAAAGGAAGTCGGGAATCCCTCCACATCTCAACCCGGACGACTGGGGCCATTACCCAGATTAGACTCATACTGGAAACCGGGTCCAGTTTCCCTTTCTCCTGTCAAACTACATGCTACTCCTGAACAAAGGCTAACTAGATAACCAAAAGACAAAATAGCCCTAAACGCAAGAACCTACCAACCTGCCCCTAGGTTACATTCAGGAGCCGAAAGAAGTGACAATCCTATCCCTAAGTTGCACCTAAGAAATAATTTTTCCTGCCTAGCTACATGCTGTTCCTGAACAAGGGCGAAACTGGAACAACAACTCGATGAAACATCTCTCGCCCCTGCCTAGTTTAGCCTGAGCGAAGTTTTGCCTATCGAACCTTTTAATCCCAGTTTTGCTCCTCTCAGCTATGAAATTGTCGGGTAGGTGTGTTATGCGAGAGCCATCTGGGATGCTCGTAGTGTTCTCTGAATTCTATCCCCTCAAAAACCTATTTACCTTATTTCCTTATAAACCCTAAACCCTATACCCTAAAAACCTTCACCCCTATCGTTAAAATCGGTTGTAAGACTATCTTGAAATCACTCTTTTCGTATAGTATACAACCTGAGTTATTCCTGATTCCTAAACCCTGAATCTTGTCTGAAAGCTAATTTCTATATATTAATAAATTTTCCAATCCACTTCCCTTTTTTTTTTTTTTTTTTTTTTTTTCCCTTGTTACCCTGATTCCGGTAATTACCTATTCCACCTTCTGCCCTCCTTTTACCCTGAGTCTATGATTGCATCTCCTTATGTTATCATGCACCTCCTTTGTTAACTATTCAGATTTTTATCTTGCCTCCCCCGAAATCTACACTCTCCCTGCTCCCCTCTAACTATGTCCCTTAAAACCCTAAACCCTCCTTCCAACTCGTAACCCTATCCTCTCCTTTGACCTTTCTCATTTTCATTATCTCTTATTTGTCCATCTCTCTTGAAAACTATACTCTCTCTATTTCCCTGCTCCTCTCTGACTATGTCCCTTAAAACCCTAAACCCTCCTTCCAACTCTTAACCCTACCCCCTCCTTCGGAGAGACGGTTAACCGACCCCCCATTTTTCACCTCAATTTATAAGAAAACCATAAGGCCATTTCAAGCAAACTCCACACCAAAAACAAAAACAGGCAAAAAAAAATAAATTCCAAAAAAACACAAAATTTGACCCCGAAACCCAACCTTTCTCATTTTCATTATCTCTTATTTGTCCATCCCTTCTGACAATATTCCTTTAAACCCTGAATCCTTTTTCGATTCTTAAACCCTATATTCCTCCCTATCCTCCTGGCCTGATATCCTCCACACCCCCTCTCGATTTAAACACCAGTTGTGCTCCTTGAATGTTTGCTACTGCCCCTTGTCCTAGTACGTTCTGCTTGAATCTCTTCATGATCTCCTCTTCTCGCTCTGGTTGTTGTCGTGCTTGCTGTCGCACCCTTTTCCTCTGGGCCTTGAGATGCGTTTCAGTGAGCGTGAGGAAAATCTCCCTGGCCTCCTGCCTGTGCATTAATGTTCCCTCCATTGTAGCCTGGCATCGTCGTTTCCAAATGGTCCAGAGACCATATTGGCGTAACAACTGAAAGATATGCCTCTGAAAGGTTTGCCACTGCTTGGGCACCCCCACACCCAAGAGCAATGCGATCCTTGAGCCTGGGAAGGCAATCCCAGCTACTTGACTCCAGATCCCTCTGGCTTCGTCCCACATCGCCACTGCCTCTGCGCACTCCATCAGGCGATGCAGCATTGTTTCTAGAATTCCTTCTTGGCATACCCTGCACATCTCATTTTCCACACTCCTCTGCCTGTGGCTTCTCCTTTCATTGAGCCAGACATTGACTGGGAGCGCCACATGGGCTATTAGCCACTGCATACTCCTGACCTGACCCAGCCTTATGTTCCCTATGTTTGCCCAAGGAATTTTTGGCAATTGACCTCTGGGGACCCCCACTCTCTTCTCCCATCGCTTGAGCAGAGTCGATAACATGGAATAAGATCGGTTCCTCAATCTGTACCCTATTCTTGTGGTGTAATGTAGAATGTTTATTGTCCTGGATACCCTTGTTTGACCACTTCTAATGTTCCATGCCCATTCCACCGGATCTACTTCCAGTTCCTCAATTGCCACTGTTGAATTGTACACCGTAAACTCCTCTGTCTCTTTCACTCTCACCTTCCTCAAAAAATGTTTAAGAATGTACAACTGCACTTTGGTTGACATATCTAGTTGGGATGTGGTGTTGCGCGGCTGAAGTATTTCGTACTTATCTGCTATTAGCCAATCGGGCCTGGAGTTTTCCATGCCCCATATTCTAAAGACCTCTTTGGGTTCATTATCATCTTCCCATGTGGCCCAATCCCCCATGCCCCATTGTTTTCCGGCCAGCAGCAAATGCTTCCATGCTTGCGGTATGGCTTCTATGATCATTCCCAGATTTTCCTGCAGCTTGTGACATCCTTTCAGTTGTCTCCTCATTTCTGTAACCGTTTTCCATCTCCTTTCCCCTTCTTCCCAGAGGTGCTTGACCTGCCATACCCCATGCTCCAACCATCTACCCCACCTTGTGTCTGTCCTTGAAAGTGTCAACGTTTTTCCTTGTCCATCTTTAATTCCTACATTGCAGAATAATGGTTGTCTGAGCACTTCTTCCCTTGTTTTAGGCTCTCGAACTCTTGCAGGAAAAACCTCCTTCCATAACTTTATGAGCTGCAACCAATAAGAAGTATTTCAAACTTCCTCCTCTTGTACTTCATTGTTCCCTTCCCTGATACCAACCTTTGCCCAATTACTACACATAATCCAGAACTGCCCTGACATGTTACTTGGTGTTCTATACCTTGCTACTTGTCTTATCTTTTCTAGCACTAATAATGTCCATGATAACCTAGGTTGTGAAATTAGTTTCACGACCCATTTAGTTTGAAGTGCTTTCAGTTGTAAGCCCGGATCCAGTACCCCCAGGCCTCCCTGTTGTCCAGGCTTGGTTACATGCTTTCACACAACCTTAGATATGAAATGGTCGTGTTAGGTTTACCTGTCCATAGGTACGCCGCCGCTCTTCTTCTCAATAGGGCTGACTCAGATTTTGGTGGAGTCCAAATTGACCCAGCATACCACATCATAGAGAAAATGGATGCATTTAGTATCAGTGCCCTCCCATATATTGATGTATATACAGTCGACCATGCTCCTAGTTTTGCCAGGATTTTTGACATTAGGTCCGCTGCCATGGAATAATGCGTTCCTCCTTCTATTATTTTGATCCCTAGGTATCTGCGCGGACCTTGGGGTGTTATCCACTGCAGTCCCTCCGGACCATTGAAGGGTAGTGGGTTTTCATGCTCTTTCTCTATCAACCACCACCCCACTGTTTTTTGCCAATTGACCTTCATTTCTGAAGCGAGCTGGAAGGCCTCCATTGCTCTTGTTAGCGCCTGAAAGGAGGAGTCCGAAGCTCTAATTATTACTGTTAAGTCATCTGCAAACAAAATTGTAGTAGGAAGATCTATCCTGTGTCCCTGCCGATCTCGTGGTGCTATGAGTCTCTGTATTGATGGGTCTTTCGTAGGAAGGAGGCTACTGCCTCCATTATGAAAAGGAAAATAGGTGCAGCCAGAGGATCACCTTGTCTAACTGACCTTGACATTGTGTAGGTCTGGGATAGATGGCCATTAACCTGTACATGTCCTTGTGCATGATTATAGAGAACTCTTATCCATTTCCTAAAGTTCGGGCCCACCCCCATCTTTTCCATGCATTGCTGCAGGAAAGGCCAACTAACCTTATCATATGCTTTTTCGAAATCGAAGAACAATATTGGAGCGTTCATTCTCTTATCCCTTATGTATCAGACTGTTTCTGTTAGAGATATAACATTATCTAAAATAAACCTTCCTGGAATAAAACCAGTTTGATCTATATGTAAACAGCTGGCTGTAACGGTCGATAGGCGATTGGCTAAAGCCTTAGCTACTATCTTGTGGGTGAGGGTTAACAAGGTTATTGGCCTATAATTACGTATATCCAACGGACTTCCCTTCTTATAGAGAAGCGTAACTATTCCTATTGCTGGCTCCTTCCCTATTCCCTCCTCTTGCCATGCTTGCTCTAGAAAGGCCAAGTATTCCTCTCCCAATATCGGCCAGAATTCCAACCAGAATTCTCTTGTAAGCCCATCTTTCCCTGGGGCTTTATTTGGGGCCATGAACCGTAACGCTTCCCATAACTCTTCTTGCGTTAAAGGCGCATCCAATCTTGCCGCGTGCGCTGGCAAGATCGTGGTCTGTAGGTGGTTCAGGAACTTTGACCGAGCCTCTACCACCCTTTCCCTTGGATACTCCTCCTCTCTCGTTGTATATAAATTGCTATAAATATCAAAGGCTACCCTCAACATTTCTTCTTTGTCTGAGGTTATTCCTCTTGGCCCCTCAAGTTGAGCTATGAGATTATTTCTTCCTTGAGATTTTATTTTTTGAAAAAAGAATTTTGTCATTCGTTCCCCCTCCTCCCATTCTCCGACTCTGGCCCTCATTTGCAGACCCCTTGCTTCTCCATCGTTGTCATTCTACCATTTCCCCCCTTGCCGTTTCAAACGCTTTTTCGTAAACATCATCTCCTGGATAATTAATAATGTTGCGCTCTGCTAGTTTTATTACTTGTTGCAGCTCTAGCTCTCTTTCCTTTCTTTTAGCCGCCAATCTCCGAGCAACTCCTGCTGAGGCTTTGGAAAGAGCCGTTAACAATTCTGGAAACGATTGTGTATCCGGATTATGTTCTTGACACACCTGAAGCACTGCCTGCCTCATTTCCCACGTCAGTTTGTAGAACCCCTTACCTCTTTTTACCTGCTTGTCTGTTACCAAGTTTAAGTGAACCGGCTTGTGATCTAATCCCATCCCATATGGCAAGTTCCCAATACTGATCGAATGTATCATGCCTATTATACCAGGTGACGTTAAATAGTAATCTATTCTTGAAGCCGACACATGCTGACTGCAGTTCCTCTTTAAATAAGTGAATTGCCTTTCTTCCGGAAAGAGGAGCCTGTAGGGGTCCACCAGGTCTGTACTACTCATCAACCTATGAATAGGTAAAGCCTCCTCAGACAGTCCCTCGTCACCAGATCTGACTCTTCCCGATAATTTATCTAAGCTAGGGTCTAAAGTGGCGTTCCAATCACCTACTATTATTAGGTGTCTATTTGCCTCCAAAATTTCTTGGATGTTGTCTATAAACTCTACCCTCTGCTGAAAACTGTTCGGACAATATACTGAAATCAAAGTATAAGGCTCCTCGTGCAGCTCAAAGTTTACTTTTACCCATCTTCCCTCCACCTCATCTACCAACGTGCTATTAATGCGTATGTTGCTTGCTGCTACTGATCTTTTATTCTGAATTATGGCAACTCCTGTCGAATGATTACTGACTGTTGGAGCCCACCAAGCCTCCTTTACCCTTTGAAGCCTTTGCATTACCTTGTTTTTAATTCTCTGGTGCTCAACTGTTTCCTGAAGATGTGTTTCTTGAATACAGATAAAGTCCGACGGAGAGGAGGTAAATCACTCCATATAATTTAAAACATTCTGCCATTTGTCTTTATTCTCCAAAATCCCTACCATCCCGTTTATGTTCCAAGAAGTTATCTTAACTTCAGGCTTCGTTAGGTTCCCTTCATCCTTTCTTTGCCGCTTCCTTGGTGCTCCCCCAACCCATTCCTTCATGAAGCCCCTATTTTGTGCTATGTCTCCTCTTGATTGCTTCTTTAATCTATGTTCCCTGCAAGGTGGTCTCTATTATCGTGGATACTGACGATATTCTCTTCTCTAGGAATTCCGGCTTCCAAGCAAAGGCGTCAACCCTTACTGCAACTGCAGCACACCGAGCTGCCCATTCTGCTACCACTTCGCCCCCAAGCAACCCATAGGGAATGGTTTCCAACACCTGCCAAGGCATCCAAATCAATCCATCCTTGAGTTCTAATTTGGCCTGCATATGCAAAAGCAACGGTATGAAGTCCGCAGCTGCTTCCTCTCCTCCTTCCTCCCCTAATTCCATGGAGTATTCCCTCCTATCTCCCAATGCATATGCTTGAGACGGCACCCCTTCCCCAATCAGGTTCTGCAGTTCCTTGCCCACGCAAACACTAATCGGGGCTGTCACCAATTGCAGAGATTGGTGAACTGCCACCTCCCAGTCTGAGTGTTTATCATTCCAACGACAGGGCAGAATGACTCTCCTCTTCGTTCCATTTTTAGCCTCCAACCTAGCTGCTGCTTCAATCTCCCTCCATTGACCATTTGCAATTTGCTGTAAGTTCACCGTATCCTCTTCCAGTTCCCTATTCTCATCCTTAAGGACACTTACCTGTGCAACCAATATCGTTGCCTGTCTCCTCAATTCCTGTTTTTCATCCTCCACATCCTCCCCCATCTTCTGTTTCTCACCCTTCATCAGTCCCTCCTACGAACCTTTCCCCAGCCCCACACTGCTACTCTGTTCTTCCTCACTCCGTGCCTTCCTTTTCTTGCTTTCCCCCTTTCCTTCTTTGTTATGATATGTCTTTGGCCATTGAAATATCTTTGCGTATTCCTCTTGCTGGATGTGAATGTCATTCTTGACTGGGCGAGCCTTCCTTGCATACTGAGCAGCATAGAATTCATTGATTTCTCCTTCCCGCCTCAGTAACTCAAATTTGTTCTCTGAGGTGATGTCCTCTGCCACCTGTGTAGCCTGTTTGAGATTCCTCAA